CTACTCCCCGGCAGCAACCCTGTAATATATCCTGGTACTGGGAGGGGACTGGGGTGTAGTGGTTAGAGCAGGAGGGCCCACTGACCCCCCCACCCAGAGCAATCTCATCTCCCCTAGGTGTGACACACATTCCCGGAGCAGGGACAGGGGGCCATTGGTTTGTGGTTCTCTGTTTATTACAAATCTGGAGATTAACAGGATGCAAAATCACATAAAAGCTGTCTCAATGTGTCCCCTCCCCCTCCAGTAAACCTTTGCACACCAAGGCAAATCAAACCAGCCAAACAGAGAAGACTTTGGTTTTACCCCACTGGCTAACCATAAGTCATACAAGCAATTCCCTTAGACACTCACCTTGCATGATTTAGAGTCGGAGGTTATTCAGTCAGAATATCGTTTTTATGACTATACTGAGCCCATACATATTGGAGCTGACCTAGAAGCAATCAAAAGGTTATTACATCATAAACAGCTCACGTATTACATCAGCAATTTAAGGTCAGAAGGTCTTAAGTACCTCCTCACAGTCCATCATTCTGTAGTGTAGGTAATATAAAGCGAATCCTTAAGAAGGTAAAGGAGGAAACTACACTGGTTGGAAGGTATTTTTATTACAGATGCGGGTGAAACACATGCTGCTTGGTTCATAATGCTTCACCCAATCATGGTATTTTTAATAATTCAGTTTCTTCTGATCATCTATGTAATTATATTAAATGTTTGTCTGTGTAGGCTCAAGAAAGCTAAGAAAATATCTAAATGAACCCCTTTTGCTATTTCAGCACTTAGCACTCCGATATAACAGTTTGTCTTAACACATATGCCGATCCTCTCTTGTATTTTATACATGATGTTTTGTGTTAATATGTATAATAATGTGGTGGTTATTGTGATTGTTAATCTCAAACACCACCAAGGAGGGGATATGTTAGCTATAAATAAGTAAGGGATGTTGGTACTGTTTAATGTGTTCAATTAGCTGCTTTAATAATGTATTTATGAGGCAATGTTATGTGAATCACTGGTTTTAATGAAATCCAACATGGAGTATATGAACTCTGACCCTTGGACTCCATCTTTGTAGGCTGACTTGTTTACAGTTAAGACACTGGATTCCCCTGGATCAAACCGGACAGAACCAGCTTTTCCCGCCAGAGCCAGCCCCCAACATTCCGTTCCCTCAGAACTCCCCCCCCCCCCTCCCCAGAGACTATATAAGATCTTGTTCAGCACCGGCGCGGGGCTGTCCATTCCAGCGGCAGCGCGTGGACGGTCGGGTCTTCCCATGGCTCCAGAGCCAGTGAGAACACCACCCATCCCATAGCAAGACTGAAGGAGGAGGGGAGGGATAGCTCAGTGGTTTGAGCATTGGCCTGTTAAACCCAGTGTTGGGAGCTCAATCCTTGAGGGGGCCATTTAGGGATTTGGGGCAAAAAATCTGTCTGGGGATTGGTCCTGCTTTGAGTAGGGGATTGGACTAGATCCCTCCTGAGATCCCTTCCAACCCTGATATTCTATGATTCTATTATCACGATCCCCACCCCAGCAAATCCACCTGACCTCTGAAGGGTCCTGGTGATCAGCATCCCAGAGGGTCTCCCTGCCCGTCGTCGGGACTTCCCAGTGGTCCTCCTCGAAGGTTCCCAATCAGCTGGAGAGTAGACGGTCTTGGGCCTCGCATCTGTATAGGGTGCCCACTGCGCCTAGAAATAGCAGGGAAAGGTTTCTGTATTGGGGCATCGTTTGTTGTTTTCTCAAATACCAAGGGAGGTTTTGTGGGTCTGAGCTTCAAGCTCCTAAACCAGTCACGGATTCACTGTTTGTCTATGCTCGTGTTTCTCCCCTTATTTTACCCAGTTTCTGTACCTTTACCCTTAATACACCTACCTTTGTTTGTACCATATTACCTTGAGTTTCCTGGGAGCTACGACCGAAACTGCCCGAGGACCTAAATCCAGAGCACCCCTCTGTACCCGTCTATCTACTTAATGGGCCCCCCCCCCAGTCTGGGAGCCAGGACGCCTAGGTTCTATCCCCGGCTCTGGGAGAGGAGTGGGGTCTAGTGGTTAGATTGGGAGAGGGCTGGGAGTCAGAGGTGCTGGGTGCTGCACAGACACAGGGAGAAAAAAACCCCGCCCTAAAGCCAAATCCTGAGGATCTAACCAAACACAAGGTGCAGGAGGGATGATTATCCCCCATTGGTACAAGGGGAAATGGAGGCACAGGCAGGTTAAGTGACACCCCAAGGTCCCCTGGGGACAATCTCCAGTGGCTAGGGAACCCCCCAGTGACTCTGTCCCTGATCCTCGGCTGGGTGTCCCCTGTGCTGGGACCTGGGCTCAGGGTAGAGCCTGGCTCTGAACGCCAGTCGGCCCAGAGACCCCCTGTGCGTCTGGCAGGCTGTAGAGCTGGGAGTGGGGATGCCAAGCCGGACCTCTCACCTGCTACAACAATCCGCACGTAATCACTGGGATCCGACCTGTTGGGCGGCTCTAATCTGGAGCGAGATCGACAGCTGAAGCTCCCTGAGTCTTCCCATCTGGTGCTGGGGATGGTGAATTCACCCCCGTCCCCAGCAGCTTCCACCTCCCGGATTTCGATTCCATCTTTATACAGAAATAATCTCCTGGCCTCGCACCAACACTGACAGCGGATGGTGACGGCTCCCCCTGGGGTGATCAAGCTTCATGCAAAAGGTCTCTTGTAAGGTATCATGACAAAGCTTATAGTCTACTGAGTATGATCATCTGATTTGTATAAATGTACCACTCTTGTATCTGAAACTAGAAATATAAAATATAACTCTGAGGGCCTATTGTAAGTATGTAAAGTGTGGGCCATTAATGATGGTTTGGAATCTTGATGACTCCCATTAACCAGGACCATTGTCTGCAGATGGCTGTGTTTACCTGTTAGTCTTCCTGTACATGTGTGTGCTGGCAAGTGGGCAATGAAGTCTTGCAGTGACATGTGATCATGTCACCTGAACTGGAATCCATCTTTAACCTGGTGCTTTTCCAGTGAGGGGGGGGTGGAAACCCAGAGGGACAAAGGGTTCCCGCCTTATGCAAAAGATATATAAAGGGGTGGAAGAGAACAGAGGGGGAGAGGAGCCATCATGAAGAATCCCCTAGCTATCGCCTGAGCTGGAACAAGAGCTGTACCAGGGGAAGGAATTGTGCCCAGGCCTGGAAGGTGTCCAGTCTGAGAAAAAAACTTACTGAAACATCTCTGAGGGTGAGATTATCTGTATTCAGTTTGATTCGACATAGATTTGCGCATTTTATTTTATTTTGCTTGGTGACTTACTTTGTTCTGTCTGTTACTACTTGGAACCACTTAAATCCTACTTTCTGTATTTAATAAAATCACTTTTTTCCTTATTAATTAACCCAGAGTATGTATTAATACCTGGGGGAGCAAACAACTGTGCATATCTCTCTATCAGTGTTATAGCGGGCGAACAATTTATGAGTTTGCCCTACATAAGCTTTATACAGGGTAAAACGGATTTATTTGGGTTTAGACCCCATTGAGAGTTGGGCATCTGAGTGCTAGAGACAAGCACACTTCTGTGAGCTGTTTTCAGGTAAACTTGCAGCTTTGGGACAAGTGATTCAGACCCTGGGTCTTTGTTGGAGCAGACGGGAGTGTCTGGCTCAGCAAGACAGGGTGCTGGAGTCCTGAGCTGGCAGGGAAAACAGGAGCAGGGGTAGTCTTGGTACATCAGGTGGCAGCTCCCAAGGGGGTTTCTGTGATCCAACCCGTCACACCGGCCTCCTCCCCCTCCTCCTCCTGGCCTTCGTCTGCTACAGAAGAACCCGAGGAAGTGAGTTCCCCGCCCAGCGAGGGAAGGGCTAAGTCGGGCTGGGAAGGAGTCACAGCTTGGACAGGAGACAGGCCAGGAAACTCAGGGGTCTCTGTAGGGGGTGCTCTCCCTACAATCAGGGCTGGCCCCAATGCCTCAGGGCAGCTCGAGGGGGTGCTGTGCTGCAGGGGTGGGGGGCTCCATAGGGGGAACCGTGCTGCAGGTAGCCAGGCTCAGCAGCTGAAGGGGGCAGGGCTCCCCCTGGGCAGAGCAGTGGGGGGGGACACTCTCTCCTGGGCCCCCCGTCCCGGCTGCCCTGTAGGGCTGAGGGGCAGGGCTGGTACATGGGATCCGGGTCGACTCATGGACGATTCTGCTTCATGTCTCTGCAGGGAAAGGACCAGCCCCGAGACAGAGCAGGTGAGACCCCAGCTCCACTCCCCACCCCAGATCTACCTGTCCCTGTCCTGGGTTCTCTCCCTGGCTCGAGGAGGGCAGTGGGGTCTAGTGGGTTGGAGCGGGGGGGTGGGGGAGGGGGCTAGGAGCCAGGACTCCTGGGTTCTGTTTCTCTCTCCCCCCATAGGGAGTCCAAGGCTGCAGCCACAGTCTGCATCACATATGAGGGGGAAGGGGAAGGGAGGAGCGGGTGCTTCCTGGTGCAGGCCACATCTTGTTGGGGGAGGACATGTTGATGTGGGGTGCAGCCTGTGTGTCGCTTTGGGACGAGTCATCTCTGCATTCTCTTGGGTGTGCTCCTGCTCTGTGACTCAGTTTCCCTTGCTGCACCATGGAGCTAGTGATCCTGCCCCACCCCAGTGTGCTGGGAGAGGGAGTTTGTTGTTACAGAGGACTGGCAACGGAACTTGGGACCCCAGCCAATGGCCTGGAGAATGGAGACCCCAGCGACAGGTGACCTGGGGGAGCGGGGTTTAGGATTGTTAAGGCTAGACAGGCCTGTTGGAAAAGGTCACGGCAGCCTGGGCACCTCTCGATGCCTCCTGAGATTGCCCCATTCCCAGCTGGTCCCCAGACTGGGCAGCTCCCATGTGGGGCTGGGAGGTGATGGGGTGGGGGGGGCTGGGCAGCTGCAGGAGGGGATGTGGTTTGCTGGGTGTTGCAGGGAGCTGGTTTTGCTCTGACCGTGGTAGATTTCAGCTGGAGTTTGCAGAGAAATCAGCTGATAGGGAAGAAAGGGGACGAGTGCATCACGGGCTTCCTGGGGCTGCAGCCCCCGGCGCAGTTCCTCATTCCGCTCGCACTCGGGCCTCAGGCTGGGTGGAGCTGGGCATCGGGGTGTTGGTGACAACGCTGAGGGGTCCCCACTGCCCCATCATGGTGTCTGCTCTCACTGCCCTCCTCCTCGGTGAGTATTGGAGACAACCAGGGTGTGTGTCCATGGGGGGTGGGGATCTGAGACCAGGGCGAGTGCCCATGCGGGGTGGGAGGAGTATGAGACCAGGGTGTAGGATTCAGTTGCTCTGGGATCTGGTCACTAACGCGCCATCTCCTCTCCAGGCTGCTGGCTGGCCGGGCAGAGCAGGGTGTGGGGAGGTGAGTATCAGTCTGTGGGGAGGATGATAACATCAAGGATGAGGGAGGGGATGCATGGGATGGGGAAAAGAGGAACTGAGCCCTGAACCTTCCCCAAAACTCAACCCAAACTCCCCCTGTGAGCTCAGACCCGGCCCCGTTCTTCTGTGTCCTGTCCCTCCCTCCCCCCGAGAGTAACTAGGAACTGAATCTGGCTCCCGGGGTCTGGCAAAACAGCTGGGAACCCAGGGCTGTTTTCAGCCCTTCCAGGCAGGAGTGGGTGACCACCCCGCTACAGGAAGGTTAAAGGAAACAAGTCACCCGTCCTGTGGGCACAGGGACACCACAAACAGCCGCCTCTGCAAGGGAAAGGAAGTTCACAGTCTGTTCCTCACACGTTCCATGTCTCTTTCCCAGGCCCTGGTCACGCCAGGGTGATACCACAGGGTGAAAATCTGTACCTGAAAGTAGCACCGTGGAGCCCCCGTATTCACCACTACGATAGAATGATGATAGGTTGGGTACAAAGGTGCCTTGTGAGGCATAATTTTAAAAGCCTTGATCTGTTGAGCATTCATATCCTGTTGCATTGTATCTGCTATCCTTGTATGGGAAGTTCTGAAGCATTGCTGTGTGTGCTATTGAAATATGTCGTGAGGTTGGGAGAAGCCCACAGCCAACCTTTCAATTGCAACAAGGGACCAGCCAGACACTGTTAATGGCTCATCAACACTCATCAAGGAAAGAATCCACTATCCCAGAGACTGTGTACAATGGAGATTGCTTGACCAATGGGGACTGCCTGATCCCCAGGTCACAGTAAAGATCTTTCAAGCAAATTGGAAAAAAATATAAAAGAGGGGAAGGGACATAATCCCTGGGCTTCTCTTCCCCACAACTCAACACCTGGAGGAACATCTGGAGGGCAAAGACTTTGAACCAGGGAAGGGTGGTTGCAGGCTGGGATGGAGTCCAGTCTGTGTATTGAGGATCTGTCACCTGCTTGTACCATCTGTCAGGGGGAGACACTGCCTGATTCAAATCCCTGTTCCATTTGAGGAACTTAGACTGCAAATATATTTTTATTTCTTAAGTAGCCAACTCTGATCTCTGTGCCTGCTTCTTATAACCACTTAAAATCTCTCCTTCTGCAGTTAATAAATCTGTTTTATATTTGACCTAAAACAGCATGTTTTGGTTGAAGTGCCTGGGAAATCTCAGCTCAGTTTACAAAGGCTAGTGCGTGTCCACACCACACTGAGGGAGGAGGGAACTTAATGAACTCACACCGGACTGGCTTCTGACCAGTGCAGGACGGTACCTGTCTGGGGTGCAAGGCTGGGGAGCTGGGGGGAATTGGCTGGAACCCCCCTATTGATGGTACCTGAGTGGCTGGGAGATCATTTGTGTAACACAGCTGGGTGGGTCCCTGCCTGTGGATGGCTGAGTGAGTGCAGAGCCTCTCCGAGGTTCGTAGCTTGACATCAGCATCACAGTGTCAGAGGCAGCCTAGGTTGGTGCCTTTGGAGGGCTCAGCGGCCCCACAGGCCGGGTTGCACCCTGGGGACCCTGTCACACACGGGTCAGACACTTGCTCTGGCGGTGGCCACACACCCTCAGGCGCTAGGTGGCAGGACCCTTCTTCCCAGCATCGTCCCCCCTGTCACTGCCTGCAGGGCCTCTCGGCTGGGGGTCTCTCCCTGTGCTGGCCCAAAGTCCCTCCCACCAATTTGGGGCTATTAACTCCTGGTTCCGGCTTCTGTTTTCCCCCAGCACGATGTCGACAGTCGTGGAGCTGTAGCCAGGGGGCTTTTCGGGTCAGCCCAACCCAGCGTCTGTGGCTGGTTCTCTCGCCCGGGTTACAACATTCAGAGTCATCCCCAATTTCCCCTGGTTCTCAGGGCCTTGGCACAGCTGGGGAACTTGCCCGTGGGTTTTACATGTGAGCTCGCAGCCGGGCCGCTTCGCAGGCTCAACGGCCACCACAGTGCGAATGACCCCCAGGCGGCTCAGGCTGGCGGGATGATCCCACGTCTCTGGCATGACTGTATCAGAGCATGTCCTGAGGCTCCGGGCACGGGGGGTGCTGCCCACAAGCCATGGCCCCTAAGACACCCCATTTGCCGATGGCCCCATCTGCCTTGTAGGGCCTGAACCTCTCCTCTAGGTGCCCCGCATCCCGACTGCCCCAGCTGCCTTGTAGGGCCCGGAGCTCTCCCCGAGGGCGTCCCGTGGCGCAGGCAGGCCCTCTCAGTGGTCCAGAGAGGCCTGGGCCACTTGCAGCTTTTGAGGCCCCTAGCCATAATAAAAATAAAAAATGACAACACATGAAAACAAAATAAGGCACCAAACAAAGGGTAAGACCGAAGTTGATAATTTTTTTAATTTAACAAATGCTTTTCTAGCCTTTTTCTGTGCAAATGCACTAATTATTGAGGAAAAATCTTTCTTTCGTGCAATGTCGCAGTTGATATTAAGCATGGCGAGCCCATTCAAACGCTCTTGTCCCATAGTTGAACGGTGATAGTTCTTTACCTGCTTCAACACGTTGAAGGTGCGTTCACTTGGAGCCACTGATGCAGGCAAACTGACAATATACGCAATGCAATTGTGATATTAGGAAACACCCCAGAGAGTCCAAGTTTGAATATTTCTTGAAGCAATTCCTTTGGCTTGCAATCCAATTTAAAGTTGGTGGAATATATTCATTTGAGGAAGATGACCGCATCACTGAGATCTTTTGAGATTTCTTTGGTTTACTGTTGCTGAAATTGTTCTGCAGAAAGTAGATCTTCATTACTCTGTTGAACTGCCAAAGAACCCCCAAAAGGGTACAAATTAGTCACAGTGACTCAATCAACGTGTAAGACCTGATTGAATAGAGTCAATGATGACAAGGAAGACATAGACCCTAGAATGCTGCTCGGCATCCCATTCAGTCGGTAAGTTGCGATTGGTGGAGAACGCCGATGAAATGCTAATATTCTGTGCTACTAATTTGGAGTTGCGAAATTTATCTAATTTGGACCCAGTCAGGATCGCATCCCATTGTTCACGAATCTGTTGAATGTCATTGATAAGACTTTCAATGTCATCCCTCTCAACGTCAAGTGTAGCATTGTGTGCTTCAATTACCAGATTAGTTTGGTGGATCATTGTAAGTAGCTTCATCCACAAAGATGACATCAGCATGCATTCAAATTTGGACATGTGCTTCTGAACAGCCTGAAGTTCAGTTTGAGCCTGTGCAGTGAGATTAAGAGATTCAAGCTCATTTAAAGCATTTCTCATTGAATTCAAATGCTGCGCAACTGGCTGAACACCATCAATCTGTGCAGACCCTCTAATGTCCAAAAATTTCAAACGTGTGTCCTCATGAAACTCACTTTACAAGATTGTCCTCACAAATTTTCACCTTGAATCTGGGCCTATAGATTACAAAAGTCTATGATGATGGCCAAGCTACTAAGCTAGGGCTCAACCAACCAACCAGTCACCTCTTTTAGCTACCATATTAAGCTAATAATGAGGAATTCTCACACATAAATAATTCCTTAGTCAACTAGACATAAAACTATAAAGACACTAAAATGTAACAATTCTCTACCTTTCAACACGCACTTGATCCAGCACCAGCCACTAGTAGTGGTTAGTTTATATTTGAGCTTGAGGCCCAGGTCAAATGGCCTCCTGGGTCCCACTCTGATCGGTCCTGCCTGCTAGGCACGGTGCCGGCGGCTGGTTATACAGGGGCCCCTCCCTCAGTTCTGAGATGCGGCCACCTCTGGGGTGGGACGGCTGTGTGTACAGGGATTCCACAAGCAACAGCGCCCTCTGCTGAGCCCCCCTGCTCCTTGGCTTTCCCAGAACAGTCCCCCATCCAAGCTGTGACCCCCTCCTGCCCTGATTAGTGGCAGGTTTAACCCTCGCTGGGTGGGGCACTTACTGGCTCGGGTTTTTCTGAAGCAGATGAAGGCCATGAGGAGGAGGAGGAGGAGGACAGCGGCTGCCATGCTCATCCCGAAGACGATGGGGCAGGGCAGATCCGGATGTGCCGGCGCCGGTGCCGGCATTGGTGATTCTGATCCACCTGGGAAACAGCAGCAGCTGTGAGTGCCGGGAGCGGCTGCTCTGTCCCCACCCAGCCCCTCCCACCCCAGGCGGCGCCCAAGGGGCTGGGACACCGCAGAGCACAGGCAGCAGAAAATTCTATAAGGTCAGAGCAAGCATGATTTGGAGGATTTAGGTGCTAGGGGGTGCTGGGCTGCAGGGGTCTCAGTAGGGGGCGCTCTCCCCTGACAGTCAGGCCTGGCCCCAACGCCCCAGCGTGGCACAAGGGGGTGCTGTCTGAGTAATCATTTACCCTCCCCCGCCCGCCACTGCCCCTCACAGTACCATGGCACCAGCCAGGCCTGGCCACACCAGCTGAGGCCAACGGGCCCATCTAGCCCGGCATCCTGCCTTCCATGCTGGCTGCTCCTGACTGCTTCACAGGGAGCTCCAGCCCCAGGGCCACTGATGGGCCCAGCTGCCCCCAGAGGAAGCCTCCGGCTGCCCCATTAGTGGCGGGTTCGTGTCTGAGCAGGAGGCTTCGCCCCCCCCCCAGACCCATGGGGGGGGGGGGGGGGGGCGGGGAGGTCACTGCCACTGAGAACAACCTCCATCCCTCCTGCTGGGCAACCACTGGGGGGAAGCTGCCCCATAATCTGTGACTCAATAGATTCCCCCCGGCCGTGGTACCTGGGTCTGCGCTGTCCGGGCAGGCATGAGCCGGCACCGCTCCAGGCTGGACTGGGTCGGTTCCCCCTGCGGGAATAGAACCAGCATCTGTTTGGGTGAGGGGAGGGGCTGAAACAGCGACTCAGCAATGCCCACCCCCACGACTCAGCATCAATCCTCAGGGTCATTCTGGGTGGGGGTAGGGGGATTTTCATGGCTGGGGACGGTGCTGACTTGGCAGTCCCTGGGCCCCGACTCCTCTGTGCAGCCCCAGAGCCGTGGCAGCCCGAGGGAGCTTCCCCTGGCAAAAGCCCCCCTGCTCTGCAGCTCCCCCTGGGGGCAGGGCCGTGTTCCCTCTCATTTTTTACATCCACGTACGGAATGAATTTTGTTATGTGCATAGAGAGGTGATGTGTGGCGGGGGTGGGGCCGAGGGGTTCGGAGTGCAGGCGGGGGCTCAGGACTGGGGTGGGGGGGGGGAACCACTTGGTGCTCCATTGGCAGCTGTAGCTCCCTCCATCGCCCCGGTCTGTGGGACCTCTGGGGTGGGGCTGTGCGTTGGGGGGGAAGCTCTCCCAGGCCCTGTCCCCACCAAGCCAATCTGGCATCTGTCCAGTGACCACCCCCCGCACATGGAATGAGTCTGGGGGGTGTTCAGATGGGGCATTCGCTGTGGGGATCTGCCCCTGTCCCACAACAGACAGCCCTTTGTGGCTTCCACCAGGGGCAGCTACTTGGACTGCACATATTTGTTTCTGGGGGGGTTGATGGCGATTTCCTGCCCCCAGCCCTGGTACCTGGTCTCACGGTACCTGGTCTCACGCTGCCTAGGCCGGTAGGAGCTGGCGTCGTTCCCGACTGAGTCGAGTCGGTTCTCTCTGCAGGAATAGAACCAGCGTCTGTTGGGGGTGGGGTGCGGGGGTGAGGAAGCTGAAGCCCTGGTGTCTGTGGTTAGTTATACAGGGAACCTCCCCTCCCCCCAACCGGCAATGGCATCTCTTCCCTGGGCTGAGCCGGCGTCCCTGGGGAGAGGACGGGACCCAGGGATTCGGGCCGGCTTAGCGCCCCCGGGATCCCAGAACGGGAGGATCGGCCCGGCAAGACCCTGAGTGCAGATACAGCCCCTGCTTGGCTCCATGGAAACCGGAACCAAAATCATTACTGATTCCTATTAATTACCAGGAGCCCCTGTCATGGGCCAGCTCCCCCGTGTGCTCGGAGCTGTACAGACACACGACACGGAGATGGTCCCTGCCCCAGCCAAGTGCCATTCACACCTGGAGTCACTGCGGAGCAGGTCTGGGCGCGGCTGTTCCTATTTTGGAGGAGGAACATCCCTGTGTCTATAGAGCTACAGGGGAGCTTGTCTGCCAAATGGGGCTGTATCAAACCAGGGGGCGCTAATACCGACAGCCCAGACTTGCTCTGAGATCACCAGTGTGGGTTGGGTACCACACGGGATTCGTCATTTCAGGTCCAGTTTTCATGGAGACAAGATCCTAGTTCATCTTTCTATCCGTCCTCACAGATGTGCTCCCATCTGTCCACTGCCCTATGTTCCCAAGGACCCATATTCCCACTGACCCATGGCCGTCTGTCTCCATGGATCTATCCATCACCCTCTCTATAGAAGAATTCAGCCCATCAGTTCTGTCTGCAGGGACCATCCCCATCCAAACGGCCCGAATGGCCCCGTGGTGGGCACCTGAGTGGGGAGCCCTGTTCCCTGGGAGATGAATTGTTCCATTTCTCCCACTCACCTTTTCCCTCTGGTTTTGTCATGGAGGGATCCGGCTGCTGGGTCCCAGCTGGGTTGGTTCCCTCTGTGGGATGAAAACGAGCTTTGGCTGGGACGGAGGAGGGAGGGAACCGAGCACCCAGCCATCGGCCCTGAAACTCCAGTGGCTGCTGCTGCCCCCTGGCTGGGGAACCCCCCAGTGACTCCGTCCTCGCTCCCCATCTAGGCGTCCCCTCTGCTGGGTCCAGGGCCAAGGCTCAGGGCTCTCTGGCTTAACCCCCGAGAAAGAGTGAACCCCCGAGAAGGGCTGTCGCACTGAAGGGGTTCCTCCCAGGGACCGTGAGGAGCTGAGAGAGCACAGGCCTGAGTCTGTGACCACTTGGGAACAGCGTGGAGATGGCCTATAACCATCTCCTGAAGAAGGACATTGTAGAGCTGTGCAGAGAGATGGCTGTGCGTTGGAAAGCTCACCAAGGCATGATCGCTCTAAAGAGCCGGTTCCTGACCCAGCTGAGGCCATGAGAGAGGCTGGGAGTAACCGGGCATCCCCGAGACCCATGTCCCTGATCAGCAGGGGGTCTCCGGTGGGTGGATCGGAGATGGATGGAATTGGAGCGGAGATTGAAGGAGTCAGAGGACCAGGAGAGACAGGGAAGGCAGGAGGCAGAACAGCAGGAGATGAACTGACGATGGCGGAGCTGAGAGGCAGAGGGACCCGTCCAGGGGTGAGTGGGGATGGACCCTGGGGTACCAATTCTGCAGGGAACCTCGACACTAAATTGCTGCCCCAGGTTAAGGACGGGGGAGATACAGATGCCTGTCTCGCGGCCTTTGGGAAGGCTGGCAATTGGAGCCAGGCTGGCCATGTGGAAAGTCTTCGGCATCTAGTCCCCTTTCTGGGTCCCAAGGCCATAGAGCTGTTTAGCCAGATGGGTGGGGTGGCAGACTGGCTCCCACTACTGCCCCCAGCATATATGTCTGCTTGTACTCTCCTGGGATCAGGCCCCTCGGACCCCCAGTGGACATGGAAAGTGGTGGTCAATGGAGAGAAATTCCTGGGGTGGTGAAATCCTGGGACAGTGAGTACTGTTGTCAGGCCCCGGGTGGTGTAGCAATGGCCATCATTAGGATCCAGAGTTAACTGCGTCACATGGAATTGGTAGGTTACAGAGTTTACACGGTGTCTATCTGGGTTGGTAGGTTCCAGGGTTGACACACCGCTGGGCAGCACCCCTGCAAAGGGGGAGCCCTGCTTCTGAGCCGTTCCCCCAGGCTGTCTGCAGACTCAGGCAGACAGATGGGATACACAGGATCATTATCCCCATCTCTCTGTCCCCAGCCCTGTTCTCCCAGGGGGATACACACCGAGCTGTGCCCCAAAGGGGTAGGTTTGTGGTGCCGGTGAGCAGCACAAAACCCTGGTCTATGGGGCCCCCGGGCTGGGGCTGTACATTGGGGGGAAGCTCTCCCAGGCCCTGCCCCCGCCAAGCCAACTGGCATCTGTCTAGTGACACCTCCACCCGCATATGAAATGATGCTGGCAGGGGGGGGGTATATGGGGCATTCGCTGTGGGGATCTGCCCCCATCCCACCCAGCCAGCCCTTCATTGCTCCCCCAAGGGACGGCTCCTTCGGCCGCACAAACCTGTTTCTGGGGGGGTTGATGGTGATTTCGTGCCCCCAGACTCGGTACCTGGCCCCGCGCTGCCTGGGCGGGTGGGAGCCGGCGCCGTTCCCGGCTGAGTCAGGTTGGTTCCCCCTGCGGGAATAGAACCAGCGTCTGTCAGGGGTGGGGTGCAGGGGTGTGAAAGCTGGAGCCCTGGTGTCTGTGGTTAGTTATACAGGGACCCCCGTCTCCCGGTTGGTAATGGTGGCTCTTCCCCTGGGGAGAGGACGGGACCCAGGGATTCGGGCCGGCTCAGAGCCCCCGGGATCCCAGAACTAGCAGGGGAGAGGCTGGCCCCGCATGCTGCATCTTCGCCCTGCCGCCAGCCTTGCATACCCAGCCCCTTCGTCGGCCACTGGACCCCGCCACTCACCCTGGGTGGGCAGGCGGCTGGCGAGCAGGGATCCGGCCAGTACTGATGGGGGGAGGACAGAAAATATGGGACAATTTGCCTCTTTTTAAGAGAAAGTCGGGACACTTGCAGGAGGGTTAAATACAGGACTGTCCCTTTAAAAACAGGAGGTCTGGTCACCCCCCCACACCCCCGGATCAATCAGGAGTCATCCTCAATGACACAGGGGGCAGGGCTGGGTTCTGATCTCAGCCCCCTGGGATCAAGACAAGGAGGTTGAACTGATTTTGGGGGTAAGGGTTCAGGACTCAGCTCCTCTTTTCCTCTCCCCCTACTCCACCCCATCCTGAACACTAAAGTTTCCCCTGCCCCACAGATACTCACCTCCCGACACCCTGCTCTGCCCGGCCAGCCAGCAGCCTGGAGAGGAGACGGCTTGTTAGGGAGCAGATCCCAGAGTGACTGGATGCTACACCCTGGTCTCAGATTCACCCCCCATGGGCACATGGCCTAGTCTCAGATTCCCTGCCCCCCTACCCCGTAGACACGCGCCCTGGTCTCACATTCTCCAGCCCCATGTATGAACACCATGGTCTCAGACCCCAATCATGGACAGACGCCCTAGTCTCAGTTCTCCACCCCATGGGCACACGCCCTGGTCTCAGATCCCGCCCCCCCACCCCATGGACACAAGCCCTGTCTGTCTCCGATACTCACCAAGGAAGAGGATCATGAGAGCAGATGTCATGATGGGAGCAGCGAGGGGCCCTCAGTGCTTCCTCCAACACCTCGGAGCCCAGCTCCACCGAGCCCCAAATGAGGAACTCAGCTGGTGGCTCCAGCTACAGGAAGTTGATAAAGGCTCATCTCTTCCTGCCTCCATCACACATTGTCTCTAGACTTCAGGCGAAATCTACTGTGGTCAGAGTAAGCAGAGGGCTTTGCAAAACCCAGCAAACCCAGGGACTGTCAGCCTGGCCAAGCATCATGCAGCTCACAGCTTGTCTGTGTCTCTCTGGAGATGTGGGACAGGTCACCTCAACGTACCCTGCAGCCTTGAGGAAGGTGCATCTGGCTGAGAGCCAGGCGACACGGGGTCTGGTCTTCAACTTTCCACTGACCATGATTTCCATGAAAAATCCATCTCCTTTTCATTCTGGGTTCAAGCCCGGCTGGTGACCCATTTCGGTAAAGTTAATACATGATCATGCAATTAAAGGCTGGTGTCATAATGGAGCTGCATGAAGGGGCAGAGTTAAGGTCGTTCAGAAAACCGTTACTGGGGTATTTCCTGGTGCTGGAGGGTTTGACTCTGCAGCCTTCCCTCTCAGCCTGAAAACACGAGTCGTGGCACCGTGTGAGGAGCGGGTGCGAGGGGGAACACCTGGGTTTGCTGACCATAGCTGAGCAGTCATGGCTGCTTTACACTGTAACGCCTGGTTCTAAGGGGCTTTTCTCAGCGTCTGAATTAAATCAACCAGGTTCAAAAGAAAATCAGAGAAAGAGAAATTCCATCCCAGGCCCCCAACGGGTCACCAGCCGGGAGAGACCCAGGGACCTTCTAATGCCCCCGCAGAGACCCTGCCCCCGAGCTGGAGGAGACACTGTCAGTGGTTATGTGGCCAGGCCCCTAGAGAGGGACGTGACACAGGCTTTGTTTATACGCCATTGGCTAGAGGGCAGGAGAAAGCTGGGGATCAGGGGGTTCTATTCCTGGCTCTGGGAGGGGAGTGGGGTCCAGTGGTTAGAGCAGGGGGCTGGGAGCCAGGACCCGGGTGTGATGGTCGCGCTGTTGCCCGTCCGTTCTCACACAGCGCTGGGTAACACCGGGGGCACCGCGACGCGGAGGCAGCATTAGAAGATGGTTCAGGAGCCCGGCCAGATGGTCCCAATGGGCTTCTTAAATCCCCCACCCCCCTGCTCACCAGCTGCCCCCATGTGACGAAGTGGGGGATTTTCTTGTTTTCTGTGGGGTTTCAATGGTTTGAATGCAGAGGGAGTGGGACTCAGTTTCCCTGGGGGTTACTGGTTTAACGAGGTGAGGGGAGAGGGAGTTTGTTGTTACAGAGGACCGGAGAGGGAACTTGGGACCCCAGCCAATGGCCTGGAGGATGGATACCCCAGTGACCGGTGACCTGAGACCCCGACCCAGAGACCCAGCTCAGGAGTTGCAGCCGGTTCTGGCCAGTGGGCGGACAATGGGCTGCAGAGTGAGGACCCAGTGACCTAACCAGCCGGTTCCAGCCAGAGGACAGAAGCAAGGAAAGGAGGCCCCGGTTTACGACCCTGTTTACCTGGAGAGAAGACAATGGACTGAGGCCGGGCTTGGGGCCAGGGATCTGAGATGCCCAGCTGGGAGCAGGGGGGCTCTGGGCTGGAGAGGGGGAGCAGGCAGAGCCCACCTGGATGCAGGGAGACTGGGATGTGCTGGGCTGAGGGAGGCCAGGCCTGAGGCCCTGAGAGTTTCCTGTGCTGTGTTCAAGTCTCAATCAACCCTCCTGTTTTACGCTGGCTGAGAGTCACTCTGGGCTTGAGAACAGGGTTGCATCAACCCCTTCGGGGGTGGAGGCCCGGGGGGTCCAGAGCGAGTGGACTCCCTGAGGGGGCCCACGGCGAGAGACAGGCGTGCTAAGGCTCAGAGAGGTGCGGCTCCAGGAGGTGGAGGGGCCTGACCCCGAGAGAGAGTGGACCCCCGAGAAGGGCTGTCGCACTGAAAGGGGCACCCCCCCACGGACCACACGGGGCCAAGAGTGGGCACGATCTGTGAGTCCGTGACACCCCCAACTTCCCAGGAGCCTCCCCCCATAGTTGCTCTCAGCCCTATGGAGCAGGAGGGGGACGAGCAGCAGAATAGCTGCCTAGCAGAGTCACTCCCCAGCCTGTCACCCACAACTAACACCCCCCACCCCAGCCTGCCCCCCAATCTCCCATCCTGCCCCCTGGCCTATCCCCCTTCGAATCCCCCCGAGCCTGCCCCCCTCACACCCTGCCCCCTCCATGGCCCATCCCTCCTCACTCCCCTGTCCCTTGCCCCATTTCCCCTCAAATGCCCATCCCCCACCCTCAGTTAAGATGGCCGCCATCTCCCAGTGTCCACAATGGGCATAGCACCGGGCTGCCCTCAAGGAAATGGCGCCTACCTGGGCTAGGAGGGGCAGTAGGGGGCAGGGGAATACAGGGCGGGAGAATGTGGGGGAACATTGGGGGTGGGGGCTGAGGGGGGCAGGGCAGTGGTGGACAATGGAAGCTGCCCGGTTGGGGGATGCCTGGCTTCCCCCCTTGTGAGCATTTCATGGTGAATCTTCCCCATGGCCATGGCTCACAACTCCCCCCCCCACTTTCTCCCCCTCCACCCCCGGCAGCCAGAGGTGCCCCAGCTCAGCTGGAGATTTAGACGGATAACAAATCCCTCCACACACACCCCATCCGCCGACCCCAACTCTGTGAGGGGGGAGCCCATCCCCATCCCCCATCCCGCTCACCCCCATTCCCTTTCCCTCTCTCCTATTTCTCCTCAAACACCCATCCCATCACCAGCACCCACCCACCCGCTCCCTTTCTGTCTCCCTTCAAATTCCTGTCCCCACTCCATCCCTGATCTCAGCCCTTCTCCCCTCTAATCCCACCCTTGGCCCAGGCTCAGCCTGTCTTCCCCAAACTCCCGTACCCTGCTGCTCTTTGCAGAGGGTCTCACAGGCCCAGAGGGCTCAGGGGGGTTGGAAACTCTCTCCCTCGCCAGCGTTACACAGGCCGGGGGCCGGGGCTCGTTTTAAACCGAGCCCCTGGTTCTACTCGGCTCCTGGGCAAACCCCCAGCAGCAGCCGTTCAAAGGCAAAGCTTTCGGGTTAACCCCACAGACAAAGAATCAAACCCGGCCTGTCTATTGGAACGGGGGCTGAGCGACCGCGGCCAACAGCCAGAGTCAGACCGGCTCCAAGTCTCGCTCCTTCAGGAGTCACCGGAGCAGAGCCGCTTGTTTCCAGAACAGCCGGGCTTTGGGGGGAGGAACCGGTTCATTTCACTCTCTGGACGGATGGTAGGGCGGCTGCTGACCCCACTCCTAGTGTAAGCAGGGGAATGATCCCGCTATCGTGGGGAACTTTCCTGCTTATACACACCCCGGTGGGATTGGCTAGTGAAAGGATCTGAGTCCTCGCTCCCACTCTCTTTACCCAGAGGCCTGCCTGACCTCGAGGGCTCCCCTTCCTCCCTCCCATGCGGCAGAGTCCTCGTAACCCCGGCAAGGCTGGGCCCCAGATCCCTGGGGGCTCGACCCCCAGTCTTGTTGTGGTCACTTAGGACAGGGGCGAGGGTGTCCCCACTCCGGGGCATTCTCTTTGAACCGAATGCTTCCCTGGTTCACTGATCATTACACTGAGTTCAGAGCACATACAATTTATTAAACAGCAACTCTCCCCAGTGCGCCCCGTGTTCCCACGGCCCCAGCTGCCTTGTAGGGCCTGGAGCTCTCCCCTGGGGCGCCCCATGGCACAGGCTCCCCATCCCAGTGCAGTTAGCCATTTCTGTCACCCCCAGATGGAGGCCCTGGAACAACTCCTCCCCCAGCCCCACGCTGAGCTGGGCCCCTCCAGACCCCTGGGGGCCAGACAGCAGGGCCAGCTCAGATGGGTTCGGCTGCACTGGTCCTTCCGGCTCCGTTTTGACAAAGCAGGGTCATGTCGCTCAGGGTGACGGTGAACCCACTGCCCTTCCCCCACACTGGGGCAGCCAGGCTGTAGCGGGAGGGACTCTTGAGGGGGGTCACCTCACCTAGCATCCGCCCCTCATCCAGCCATGGGCAGCCTCGGCCAGGGTCAGCGCCAGGGCCAGCCGGACGATGTTGCCCCGGGTGTAACCTGGGGGTGACAAAGGGAGGACGGGGGTGTCAGCAGCTGCTCCAGGGAGTGTGGCAGGGAGGTCTCCATCCAACTAGGTGGACAGCTAGGGGGCCCCCAGCCCCTTTCTTCCCCCCAGAGCAGAAAAACACCACAGCCCCGTATGCCCATCCACCCCCTCTATCTAATCTAATCTATCCCCGCCCACCCCCCTCTGTCCCAGAGCACTGGAACAGGGGGCTCAGGGCGGGGGGCATGGCGCTCCCATTTTTTACCAGTGGTAAGGGTGGGCAGATAATCTGATAATCTGGCAACACACCCAGAGGATGCAGCTGCTCGTGGTGAACAAGGAACCATCTACAAAATGACGCCGTTTATCAGTGGTAAATGGCAAACACCAACAAACACTCTCCTCAGGAGCAAACAAGGACACCTACTAACAAGCAAAAAAGAACAAGAAATGTGTGGGACAAATACTTTCAAAGAATTGCTGAACCGGGAGCCACCTAAGGAGGAAGCAAACATCCAGGAGGCAGAAGAAGAGCTTGATATGAACACAGACACCCCAACTAAGGAAGAGATCGTTCAAGCCATCAAATCCTTTAAAAATGGGAACGCTCCTGGCAAGGATAACTTGAATGCAGAATTGTTCAAGGTAAATCCTAAATTAGCAGCTTCTATCCTGGCCCCTCTGTTTACATCAGTCTGGGAAAGGGAAAAAGTGCCAGATGCGTGGACCAATGGGGTTATTTTTAGTGAAGATACCAGAGAAAGGAACTCTCTGTGACTATAATAACTGGTGTGGTATCACACTTTTATCTATGCCAAGCAAAGTGTTGTGCAAGATCCTAGTCCAGCGTACATCAGAGGCAGTTGATAGCGTTCTCAGAAAAGAGCAAGCTGGTTTTTGGAAAGGGCGTGTGGATGCACAGACCAGATCTTCACTCTACGAAA